TCTATAGTATTACACTTTTTGTACAAAGTTGAGGGCTTCAGCTTTTTTATTTTAATAAGTAAATTTTCTGTTAGCGTTTAGATCTGCTGTGGTTGCTACTTCCACCGGTCAATTCAGGTTTTGGTGGTGTTTAAAAAAGAGAACTATGGCGTAAGTGTTTTTCCCCACAGTTCTCTTTAGGGTCACACGAGGACATAAACTAGCGTCCTCCCGTGACCCAAAGCTCAGTATATCGTGAGCTACAGCTCACGGGTATACGGAGACCGCCGCAGCGGGGACGGATCCCAACATTACTGTCGAAATCCACACAGCTGCGTGAGTGACAGCTGGCTCTGCCTATCTCGTTCCTCCAGTCAGCACTGGAGGATCGGAGCGGGGGTGGTGGAATCCCTGCAGGGAGCCATGACTGACAGTCACGGCTTTAATCACCACTGGGTTTTTTTTTTATTTTTTACTATATTAAAGAAAAACTACCAAACTTTTTTTTTAAAAAAAACTGGTTTTCACTATGTTAAAAATATTTCTTCATAAAATTTAGGCCAAAATGTATTCTGCTACATTTCTTTGGTAAAAAACTAAGATAAGTGAGTGTGTGTGTGTGTGTCTGTATAATATTATATATTAATCACTTGAAGACCAGGTGTTACACCCTCTTTCTGGCCAGGCCATTTTTCAGTATTCAGTGCTGCGGTACTTTTTTGACGGACATTTATTGCGTCATGCAACGCTGTACTGAAATTAAAGGAGAACTATGGGGTTCTATCTTTTTTTTATTATTGCATTCCTTAGGCTTAATAACTAAATAATGTAATTTACTCTAATTAGCCAAAATGCACAGTAAGGCTGTAAACCCTTATTTAAGGTGGTGGGCGGGGCTAAGCGCCGCAATGAGAAGACATCCCGACGTATCTGACGGGATCCTCCCCACTGATGACTGACAGTGATTCTTGAGAGCTGCTGCGCGTCCACGAATATATGGACATGCGCAGCAGCTCTCTCCTTACCTGCAGGTCCCCGTGTGCTGGCTCCTTCCCCCCTCTCCCTCTCTCTCCCCGCTGACACTGACATACTAAAATGATCGTGGATCGCTGATGAGAGAGGGGAAGGAGCCCTCTCTCTCTCTTCAACATTTACTACAAATGGGAAAGTCCATATATGGTAAATGATGTCACTGTAGATCCCTGCAGATGAGATGCTTGCCAGTCTGCAGGGATCCCCAGTGACACCATTTACCATATATGGACTTGCCCATTTGTAGTAAATGCTGAAGAGAGAGAGAGGGCTTCTTCCCCTCTCTCATCAGCGATCCCCAGTGAATTGAGGATGTCAGCGTCACACAGGCAGGGAGAGAGAGAGAGGGGAAGGAGTCTGCATGCACGAGCTGACAAAACCCAGCTGTGCACGATGAGAGGAAGCGCGGCCACAGCAATGAGATCATTTGGAAAAAAAAGCCGTGGGCGGGCTGGATCAAATGTTAACGCCCCCTAAGAGGAAAGGAGCATGGGTGAAGACGGCCATTTACTACAGGTTTTGAGGGTTTTATCTGATGTGATGTGCTGCGAATTTAGAAAAAAAGAACGATGCTACTACAATCAAGGTAAGGGGTATTTTTATTTGCCCTTAAGTCATAGTTCTCCTTTAATTTTATACCATTTTTTGGGGACAGATAGAGCTTTCTTTTGGTGGTATTTAATCACCACTGGGGTTATTTTTTACTATGTAACAAAAAAGTACCCTAAATTTTGTAAAAAAAACCCCCAACTTTCTCTATGAAATGTTTTGAAACATTTATTATCACACCAATTTTTTGGTAAAATATAAAAGGCAGGGTCACGTCGGGTAAATAGACGCCAAACATGTTGAGCTTTAAAATTGCAGAAAACGACCACACCCAAAATTGGCCATAGGCAACGCTTTAAAAGCTTTTACCGCTCATCAGTTTAATGTTATCAGTAATTAATGGCCCTAAATTTATTGCTTTCATGCCAACGTTCGTGGCGATATGTAACATGTGCGGCACAATAGGCAGAATCGTCGTTTTCTCACGTTTGTGCACTCAACGCATGTTTGTGTGTGTATGTGGGGGGGCGGGGGACTTTAAAAAAAAAAAAAAAAAGGAATATTAAAAGCTAAAAAAAAAAAAAATAGTCACAAATGTAAAAAAATGTGTGTTATTTAAAAAAAAAATGATGCTTTCATTTTTTTTACACTTAACTTTATTGCCATCACATGGGGGACTAAGAAATCCCCTATGTGATAGCCAATTCACATGACAGGTCCTCTTTATGGAGACATCAGGGGTCTCCAAGACCCTTAATGTAACCTAGGTACCCCCAGAGAAGCTGATGAAGCAGAGATCTGCTTCACCAGCTTCTCACCGATGTTCTGTACCTTAGAGTGACACTGAATGCAAGGCAGTAATGTAATATACATCACTTCCTGCATTCGGGGACCGAGAAGAGATCAAAGGGAGATCGTGTACTGATCTCCACTGAGAGCGTCGCTGTGCCGGTCCCAGCCGCACCGGGCACATCGGATCTTGGGACAGGCAGCGGCAAGGCGGCCAGGGGAGACGGGGAGGAGAAGATGACAGGTGCCAGCGGCACTGACCCCCCACTTCCAGTCGCTGGCATCTATCATCCTCTCCTCCCCGTCTGGAGCTGCTCCATGCTTCTCCTTGGATCCCTGCTGCTCTCCCCTGCCTGTATGGGCTGAGGCAGCGGAGAAGGGAGCGCGGCCTGCGGTAAGCATGGCCAAGTGGTGTGCAGAGAGGAGAGACACTGTCATCCTCTCGGTTTCAGGATGACAGTGTTCCCGTGCACGGCCAAGCGGGTCAGGATGGAGAGCGGGAGGATCGGTAAATATCTGTTATATTTACCAATCCTCTGTGTGCAGACCAAACACTGGAGTGATCAGCTGATCACTCAATTGTTGGCAAACAACTGGGGACACAGTACTATGTGTCCCCAGTTATGAATGAACAGGAAGTGCTTTACATCACTTCCAGTTCATTTGTGAGTTACTCAATGGGGAGAAGCACTCACTACAGAGGCCTCTACCCATTCAGAAAATGGTGATTAGTAAATATTTTACGATCACCAGTTTCTGAATGAATGGGAAGCCTCTGTCCTGAGTGCTTTCCATTCAGTTAAAACAGAGGCTGCAGAAAAAGAAATTGAGGACTCGTGTCCTTAATTTCTTTTTTTTTATATCAAAAAGGAAAATGTCAGGGTTCTGTTTAGGCCCCTGATATTTTCCAGAAGCCCCCCCCCCCCCAGTAAAAATAAAATTAAAATAATAAAAAAAATAAAACAAAAACAAAACCAGAACCGCCCCTCCCCCACACAGATAACATACACGTGCAACAGTGTGCACCATATTGTGGTGTACGCCATGCACATGCGCTGTTAGAACGCATCACAGTGCTTGATTTTGTTTCTTTTTAAAATATTAATTTAACTGTGGCAGAGCCCTGTGACGCATTGCGGTGCGCTGTCAAACGCTGTGTTGCGATTAAATGTACGCCTGTATCATTTTATCATAACACATACACTGACGCAGCACACAATTTTTAACCACTTGAAGACCAGGCGTTTACACCAGCTTCCTGGCCAGGCCATTTTTCAGTATCCAGCGCTGCAATACGTTGACATTCAGGAGGCAATGCTGTACTGAAATGAGTTTTGTACCATTTTTAGGGGACAGGTAGAGCTTTCTAAGCTCTCTCTCACCTAGGGACCCCCCAAAAAACTGATGAAGCAGAGATCTGCTTCATCAGCTTCCCTGCAGCTACAGAAGCCAGAGAATGACAGCTGAATGCGGTTAAGATAAGTTGCTTACAGTTTTGCAGCACTTTGTTTTTTTTTACCGTTTCGCAAAAAAGTGCATATTTAAAATTTACAACTATTTGTTATTTATTAACTCAATACAGTTTTATCTTTTAGATTTAGAGGGAAACTTATTTTTTTTTTGCACGGATACTGATTTTAGTGTGCTTTTATAAATGTAATTGTGTAGTTTTTTTTCTGGCTTATTATTGATTTGATAAACATTTGCACAAACTTTTACAAACGCTAGCAACACAGCAATATGTAATCAAAACAATGGGAAATATTGCAAAAGTGGTGTGGCCAGCTGAGGTGTAAAGCGTTCAAGGGCTTGGCAGCGGAAGGGTTAAATGCCTTCTCACTAGTGTAGAATTTTGTGAAATGTTTAGGATCTATACTTTTCTTGTACTTCTGGCAATCAGGACTCTGACTGGACTGTGGGGCTGGCAATCAAAACTCTGATTGGGGCTGGCAAACAAAACTCTGATTGGGGCTGGCACTGATGGCCATCCGGACTCTGGCGGACTGACAGGCTGGCAATCAGGACTCTGACGGACGGACAGGCTAGCACTGTGGCATAATTTGTGCTGGAGCAAGTGCTGATTAACACCTGACCAGTGTGATGGTCACAGCGATCACATAGAACATAACCGATTTCACTGGCTCTGCTACAAGTTGTTTAAATTACAGTGTCCAATGGACAGTGTGTCTAAACTTGCTTGGTAGTGCGCATGCTAGGGGCACGCGAGCATGCCAAAAAAATATTGTGCATTTGTGTAAACCCACTGGGAGCTGTCAGCTGTCTGACCGTACAACGGTCGGAAGGCAACTGGTTAAAGGCATCTCATAGGCATGTAATTTAAGGGATTGGTGTTTATTCCATGCCACCCTCAAAGTCACATTAAACCGGACTCTCTTTGTATGTTTTTTTTTTTTTGCTTTGTTAAATGTTTTCAGTGGCTTCACAATAGCTTGCCTCCCGCGCATCAAGCCAGGCAGATTCCTTGATCCCTATTAAGGACCTTTTGAACATAGTTTTACTGATCATCTAATCCACCTCCTGATTTTCTGTAGTTCACTTGGTTTGTATTTAGAAATGTTTAGAAATCTATAACAATTATTTGCAAAACAATACCACTAACGGAAAAGTAGAAAGGTAAAATAGATCATTACTTTCTGCATGTTCTGGAGATCCTCACGTAGACAGGAGACCTCTTTTCGTAAATACTGCAGCTCATTTTCTTTAACTCGCAGAAACACCTGAAATGAACAGTAAAAATAATAAAATGAATAATACGTCTAGTTTTCAGTTGTCTTTCAATCTCACGTTTTAAAAATGGTTGTGTTGTATTTAGATGTAAACGCATGAGAGGTATCTTCTTAAGACACTATACTTACAAGTGTACTTCTTTGTACAGTTGCTACTTCTGGTCTCCATATTTAGAATGCTATAAAAAGTTTTTGCTTTCCAGCTTTATAATACATGCATTTTCATTTTAAGCAATCTGAAGGACCAATATGATTGCACTAAAATAGGCACAGACAAAAAACAAACTGAAGATCCACACCAAGTAGAGTAATGGTGCACCTTTTGCATAGCTTTTTTTTTTTAAAATGTATACATTTTTATTTGTATCTGTATGTTTATCAATGGATTTTGGGTCCACGTATGTATCATGGTGTGTTGTGGAGCCATTCATTTTTTAATGTTACCCCAATGAGCTAAAGCAGCGCACCTGCATTGCTCGCTAATGCACTACTGCATGCTGTGGTGTGCTGTGTTGACCAAAACAGTACAGGAGTGAGGTCTGCTGTGGTGCGTATGTAGTCCATTCAAATGAATGAGCTGTTATAATGTGTGTCAAGACACTGCATTAGACTACACAGGTGCAAAAAAGTGCTAAGACATTTCAGCACTTTTCTGTTTCAATATTTTAATTAGAGTTTGACATGTAATATACATAGAAAAGTGGTTCACGTTGCTCCAATACAGTAGTTCAGAAAACAATATAAACATAACGAATGCAACAATATAGTAAATGAATAATAGATCTTAGAGCAAGTAGGTGTCTCAGCCCTAACCATGTAGCAAAAATGATCATTTTGCTCAGTAGCAAAGTTAACAGGACTGCACCTCCTAGAGGGGAACCAGGAGAGAGATATTAACCGCTTGAAGACCAGGTGTTTAGACCCCCTTCCTGGCCAGGCCATTTTTCAGTATTCAGCGCTGCAGTACTTTGACTGACATTTATTCCGTCATGCAACGCTGTACTGAAATTAATTTTATACCATTTTTTGGGGACAGATAGAGCTTTCTTATGGTGGTATTTAATCACCACTGGGGTTTTTATTTTTTACTATAATTAGGAAAAATTTGAAATCGCAAAAAACTAGCATACCCAAAATTGGCCATAGGCGACGCTTTAAAAGCTTTTACAGCTCATCAGTATAGTGTTATCAGTGATTGATGGCCCTAGAACTATTGCTCTCATTCCGACGTTCGCGGCGATATGTAACATGTGCGGCATAATGGGCGCAATCGCCGTTTTCGCAGGTATGCGCATCTGACGGCGTGGGGACTTTAAAAAAAAATTTGGGTTTTTTAAATTCTTTTTTGTGTGTAACTTTAAAAAAATTTGGAGGGAAACTTTACATTTTTTTCCAATTTTTTTTTCCCACTTAACTTTATTGCTATCACAGAGGGGGCTGAGAAACCCCTCTATGTGATAGCAAAAGAGGTGACAGGTCCTCTTTATGGAGACATCAGGGGTCTCCAAGACCCCTAATGTCACCTAGGACCCCCCTGAAGATGCTGATGAAGCAGAGATCTGCTTCATCAGCTTCTCTCCAGCATCTGAACCTGGAGAGTGACACGAGAATGCGGAAGTGATGTAATATACACCACTTCCGCATTCTGACAGCGGAGAGGGGACCGGAGGGAGATCGTGAACCGACCTCCCTCTGATCCCCTGTGACAGAGGCAGTATGCTGGTCCCAGGCTCACAATGGAGCCCGGGACTAGCTCGTCACAGGACCTCATACAAGCGATCAGCCAGCTCTATAGCCGGCGGATCGCTTGTATATCAACAGGCATCGCTGCCTGTTTTCAAATAACGGGCACTTCCAACTCGCGCGCAGTGCGCCCGAGCGGGCGGATGTAACAGGACGTGTATACACGCCCAGTTACATCCAAGAAGCTCCTGGCCGGCCGTGTATACACAACGGCCGGCCGGGAGGTAGTTAAAAAGGTATAAGGGAGAGGCCCCATATAAAGAAAAGAGCAAAGAAAGAAGATAGAAAAGAACATGAAAAGAGTAATAGTATCAGTTATACCAATACTACTAGTGGGTCCCATATCTTACAAACACCAGCCACTTTAATTAGTAGCGGAGGCTGCTCATCCCCAACTCAAGTTCCAAAACCATCCTGGTTCTTGTAGCACATCAGATTCCCCGGTAGCTCACTGGATCCATGTCAGGATGGGGATATGAGAGCCAAGGTTCCGAAATACTCAGAAATTTACAATATTTGTCCTCTAAGATGCTGGAAAGCCGTTCATCAAGCATGACATTGTCTAGCCTGTGGACAAATTCCAGATATGAGATTTGATGCCTCTTCCAATTGCCTGCCAGTGTTAACTTAGCTGCTAGGAAAATAAAAGAGTGACAAAGCACGCTGTGGTTTAGTCAGTCTAGGTACAGACAAGTGGAAGAGGGCATATTGAAGGTTTCTGGGAACATATGTGTTAAAAAGTGAACCAATCAGTTTGAATATCTTGATCCAAAATCGATTGGCTATCGGGCATTGCCACCATATGTGTACCTATTTCCCGACATCCCAGCAAACATTTGCTTGTGGAAGAGGGGAATAAACGAGCCATCCTCGCTGGGACCAGATACCACCTCATTACCACTTTATAGGCTACCTCAGCATTTGTAATGTTGATAGAGCAGCTAGCAATATTCCTCCAAAGCTGTTGCTATTCCTCTAGGGACCACTGCTAGTGTAATTCTCCTTTACAACCTCTAACATAAGTATGGGCGGTATGACTAACCAGCCTATTTAATTAAGAATATAAAATCATTACTAGACCTGGGCCTTCCGGTGAATGAAGACAGATATGTTCAAAACATGTAAGTAAACAGGTTGGTTCTCTCCTTTTAATCAGGGTGGAGATCCAGTGGTGAAGTTGGATGTACCTGAAATGTTCAACCTCCGGTATCCTGTTATGTTCTCATAGGTAAAGCCATGATGGAATGGCAGGGGAGCGTATAAAATCGTGCACTATATGAAATCCGTTATTCGCCCACCATTGAAAAGCATTGGAATCATCCGTACCTGGCTTAAACATTGGTTGGGCAAACAGAGGGAGAAGTGGTAGAGACGGGGATATTAAGTCCGCTGAGTACTTGATGGAATCCCACACCTTTAACAAATGCAACATAAGAGGACTCAAATTTTTGGGCCTATCAGAGGATGGTAGCCAGGGTAATGCAGATAAGGGTAGAGTTGAACAATTTGGAATTTTCAGCACTTTTCATCCCACAATCTAAGCAAAAGGTAAAAGCAGTGCCAGGGATTGGTGCTGAAAGGTGTTCAGGGTGTGGAGACCAGCACAGAACAAAATAAATAAATAAATCCTTGGCTCAGAAGACCCAGAGTGCTCGATGGAGATCTGCAAACGTGCGCAGTGGTATGGGAAGTTTGGAAGTGAAAAACTGAGGAAGGGGCAGTTTGTAGCCCTGGCACATCACCTCCTGCACCAAGTGTCTGAGATGCAAGCAGTCTAAGAGTCCACAAAGATTAAGAACTGCCCCCTCCCACTCTGGAAAAAAAAATGTTCCCCTCTCCTGCTTACCTGTTTTGCAGTGAGGGAGCTGCATCCCTAGGGTACAGCGGAGGATCAGTGTGATCTGCATCTCTGGCAGACCATACTAAATCGCTCCCTGCCAGTCAGCGGCGGCACCACGAGGGAGCGATCAGTGTGGTCTGCATCAGCAAGAGATGTAGATCATACTGATTCCCCATTGGACCACCAGGGAATGATTTTCATTTAATATATTGCTGGTTCGGCAATATATTACATGTAATGTGGGCACTTGCCAGGTTTAAAAGGTGGCCGCCGCTACTCGCGACCGCCATCTTTAAAAACCTAATGTGCAGTGGAGACCCCCTGGGGATATCGGAGGCCCACAGAGCACCCCAGGTGAGGATCTGTTGTGTACATGCCCAGGCTTCCTCTGGTGCTGCTGGGGCCCGGCCGCCTCCGGCCAGTCACCTGTACGGCCGTCACCCATGTAAGGTTCCCGGGCCCCTCATGCTGCCCGTGCCCCTTACATGAGTATCGGCCGTACCTTTCCTGAAGGCGGCCCTGCATAAATCTATTATGGAGCTGTCCCAGTTTGAAAAGATATTGGTATGACATACTGGAAGTTATTAATGTCTATGCCGTTTCTATTCCTAACGATCCCCTAGTAAGTATTTTTGGTATAAGGGAACATATGAGTTTGGAATCGGCTAGCATTACTTCTATATCTAGGTAATTAGTTGTGGTTAGTGTTCTACTCAAATGGATTTCCCATATGCCTCCTACAAAAGAAGACCAAAAGAGTTGGATAGGCTGATCTCTTTTGAGAAATGTACATTTCAACATCGTGGAGCCATTGAGAAATATGCTGGTGGATAGAAAATAAAGCAGCTAATGACCGGCATGGTCATAGTTGAAACATCTTGTTTGGACAATGAGACTTGTAGTATTATTTATGAATGGTACTATGATATAACATTGATATTGTGAAAATGGGGAGTATAACAAATTTATAAAAAGCGCCCTCCAGTTAAAATGTTTTTTTTGTATGGGTGGTATAAGAATCCTCTAAGTCTGTTGAACTTAAAGTTTTCCCTTTGCGGGGGAGGGGGTGGATTGTATTTTTCTTTTGCTTTGTCTTTGTGGTTAACTATTTTTATATGTTGTTGTCAATGTACTTCTGTAAAAAAACATTTATCAAAAATATTTGGATTAAAAATAAAAATATAGTAAATCGGTTTCCTCTTAAGCGTTACAAATGCTCAGTTCCTATTCACTTGGTGAATGCAGCTCGTTCATGTGTGTCGCTGTTGTGGATACAGAGGTTGCCCACTAAGGTCAAGCTTTGGTTTTCCAAGGTAAACAATATTAAGCATATTGGGGACCTTACTAGTTCTCTGAGGGATTCCTCTGACAGGTTCTCTTCCACTTGGTTCTATTGGAGCGAATATATGGACTCTGAGGAACATGAACGTATCAAGGGGACCTGCATGGTTCTATCCATTGTCATATATATGTTTATTACCTAAATACTTTATATTAGATGGGCATGCACAAATTATTTTGAAAAAAGTTTGGGGGCCGTGGTTAACAAACGGTTCCAACCGTGGTATAAGTTTTCAACCAACTTCAATAGGGTTTTGTACTAAGAAGTGCTGAAAGTGGAATCTGATAAAAGGGGCGTGACCCCAGAAACGCGTCATCATCACAGCCTTTCTTGCTGGCACAGACACAGCTGTGCAGCTATCACTGGCTTCTTCCTTGGTCCATGCATTTACTTATTATGCTGTAATCATGTCGACCTTTTTGAGTATGTTTCACATTCACTATTTGCTTTTATTCTAAATAAATTTGTCTGCACCAGGAAAGGCGCCCCTTGTTTGTGTTTTTCCCCCAGATTTTGCAGTCTCCCTGGCTGGTTTAGAGCAGCGTCCTGCAGACTTTCCATTACTTGGCTTCACTTTTAAAACAGACTTTGCATTTCATTGCATACTTATATCCTGGTGGAGCAGTCTCATTTGGCGCTTTTTGTTCATATCTGTACAAGTGCTGAAAGTATGTTTACATGTTTCAACCTCTTTGTAATACATAGTTATTTTCTGTTTTGGGGGAGTTGGCAGATGCCAGTATGTAAATGTTCAGTAATAAATGTAGCATAAATCATTATATAAGGTCTCCCCAGAAAGGGATCTATTTTAAAAAAACAGACAAATAAATGTGGTATAATAAAGCTGAATAGACTGAGTAAGCCAGCCAGTAGTAAATATTACTAGTAAGTAATTAAAACAACACTCTAAACACAGCCTTAAAGCATGCTACATAGACAAAACCACAGTCAGTCTTCTGCATGAGAAGACTGATTTCATGAGACTTATCTACTGTATATTTAACTACTTTTTACTTGCCACAGTAGTGGTCGTAGTGAGCAAAGTAAAAAATAACCACCACCACCGCCAAACATTTATTGGTCAAGTACTAATACTTAAAACGAGAGAACAGATAGATTTAGGTGGCTTTTCTGAGGCTCTAAACTGACTCATGATCTAGAACATTCAGCTTGGATCAGACAGGTAACACCCCCTTCACTTCAAGCCCAAATGGCAGCAAGAGGAAATAAGAGAAGCATTCTGTATATCAGACAGGGAATGAAAGAGGTTTTCCATGCAGGATACCACTTGAATATTAACAACTAGTAGCACATGTAAGGCATAATGAAGAATGCTACACACCTCTTGTGCTAAAAATGAGCAGAGCAGCTGCAGGATCAGCACAAATGGTGTGTCCGTCTCTGACTACTAACATATTTTACAGCATCAGCCTGCTTAATTTGAAAGTTTGGATGGTACTCTATTAAGATTAGCCAAGCTTTTTCTGCTTTAATATTCTGTATTAAATAGCCCACTTTGAAGGAATTAATTGAGTTTTCAGTAGACCATGCACTGCAGTTGTGTTATATTTTTGGGGTTTCATATAGTAATTGGACACTGGATTATTTTAAACTATCTAGAGCTTTGGTTCTCAACTGGTGGGTCGTGACCCAAAAGTGGGTCGCAACCCTATGTTCAGTGGGTCACCTCACCTTACACTTTTTTAGGCGAGAGGCTCCAAAGCCTCCCCCTAGCACAGCACTGTCAGTTCTCACACCAAGCAGCCATTTAAAATATGCTGCCCGATCCAGAGTGCCAGCTTGAGGTGTGGTGGGATGGCATGGGGATATGGCCGCGAGAGAACTCCATCCCAACATACATACATGCATTGCTTACACCTCCCTCACGTGTCCTGTAGAGGAGCCTGGACCGCAGTGACATCACATTCTGGCTCCCTACACCTCTACAGGGCACGCAAGGGAGCTGTACTAGCAATGCAGATATGGATGGAGCACAGCAGTCCACACTGGACCCCAGGCTGAGGATCCGCTCCAGTTCTCGTAAGATAGGGAGACTGGGTGGATCTTAAAAAAAGAGATTTTTTTTTTTTTGGGGAGTCTGTATGTGTATGTGTGTGTGTGAGATTGTGTCTGTGGTTGTGTGTGTCTGTATTTAAGGGGCCCGTTCACACTTGTACAGTGTGTTAATCGCACAGTCCCTTGCGATTAAGGCACCGTACCAAGCAAAAGAATTCTGGAGTAGGAGGTATTTTGAATGGCACCCCAAACGCAGCTCCCACCCACAGTTTGATCGCCCACACCGGAATGTGCGGTACCGCAATGCCGTGTGTTCTAGTGCGGTGGACTTGGGTCAGGACAAATGTGGGTCCTGAGGTTACACATGTTGAGAACCACTGATCTAGAGGAAAATCTTTGACCTACTGCATTATTTTCATTAACATTTGTAGTAATGCATTTGATTGGCAACATTAAATACCTCAAGCTCCGCATTGCATTTCTCTCCCCCTTGTAACCGTCCATCATTTGGGCCATTACCAGACATGAATGTTCGCAGTTTTGCAATCTCTTCTGATAATCTACTATTCAATTCCTGAAAAAAAGCAAGCCTCAGTTACGATGTGATGAAAAACAAAATAACCTTTTTCCACTACAGTAAAAAGTGACTGCAGACACAGATGTGGCAAAACCTATAGGTGTACAGAAATCCATCATATGCTCAGCCTCATTTACATCTACATTGATAGGATGCTCCATGCTTACAGCATCCTTACTCTGTGCAATGGTAAAAAGCAGGGATGCACCGATATATCGGCGCTGAAACATATCGGGCGAAAATGGCACTTTTGGCATAATGCCGAAAGAGCCATGTTTTGGCCGATACATCGGCACATCCCTGGTTTCTTTTTTCCCCACTGGCCACTGTTCCAGCGGGGAGAAAAGAAAGTGACAGCCGGCCGAGCGCTGCAGGACGAGAGCGCTGTGAGCGGCCGGCGTCTCTCCTCCCACACCCCTCAGCCGCCTATCACAGTCCGGCAGAGCGTTGTGGGGGCGGAGGCAGCGCTGTCACAGGAGACTGGGCTTTCCTCTCTACACTGCTCGATCAGCCTCCTGTGACAGCGTGTCAGATAGAAAAGCAAGGTACACACACTCAGCGATCAGTGATCGCTGAGTGTGTGTACATAATTGAGGATATGGTATGTTAACTATATCCTAAATTATGAATGAATGGGAGTGATCTACATCACCCCCATTCATTCATAATTGTAGTTATAGTAAACAAACAATGTTCTGACTCATGTTATCAATGAACAGGAACACTCAGAGGATTCCTGTTCATTGATAACAGGGGACACAGAAAAAGAGATTGAGGACTCTGTGTTCTCAATCTCTTTTTCTATTTTAAAAGGGAAATATCAGGGGTTTTTAGACCCCTAATATTTCCCCGAAGCCCCTAAAAGTAAAGTAAAAAATAAAAAATGAATAAAAATATAAAAAATTGAAAAAGTTTATAAAAAATAAAATATTTTAAAAAACTGAAAAAATAAAAAAATAAAACATTTTCGGTATGGGCCTGACATTTTTTTTTATTTCGGTTTCGTTTCGGTTTTAAAATTTCCATTTCGGTGCACCTCTAGTAAAAAGAATCACAATTGATTTGAGCATCTTTTGTGCTAAATAGGCAATGTTTTTCTGTTTCTGAGTCGCTCTCCTAACCATCAGATTTGAAACTAGGTGCTACTCCAGCGTCGCATCGCGCTGACTTTCTAAAGGGTAGTTTAGGTGCAAACGCACATTTTTTCATTTTTATTTTGGAATAGCATAGTGCCTATGGTATGCGACTTTTGTGACAATGCTGTAGTTCAGCTTACCATAGCAATTAGAAAGATGTCTGCAAAGATAAAAAGGTGTCTGCAATTTGTAATGCACAGTACAGTTAATAATAATTGTCTGAAATTAACAGATTAAAAAAAAATACACTAAATCTTGAAGGTGGCAAGTCTGGCCACCTCAGTAATTTCTTAGTAACACCCCTTCAGAAAGCACAGCAGCCTTTCTTACAGCCAGCTAATAGTTTTACTGTTACTGCTTCAGAAAAAAAGTTTCCTACTTTTCTTGTGGAACAGTTTTCGTTTAAACATATTCATAGAATTGTCTTTCATGCACTGCATGTTTTTATGCACCCACAGATTTCAGTCATTTGTAACTACTAATAAAACAGATCAATTGCAGTTGCACTCCAACATGTGAAGAAACATATGAAGTGTTAACTTTTCACTTAGAAAATCAGCAAAATATGTGATTGGACCATGGGTACCTAAACTTTAGTATAAGACAACCTAACCTATTGTATGGTCAACCTACATTTTAGAGTTTATTTAATTTTATGTATTTTTAACATCTCTGCACTGCCAGAGCGCTGTTCATCTCGCATAGTGCACTGATTATTTCACATAACCCTACTCAAATCTTCCCTAAGCTACACTCTCTGCCTGACATAAACTTTCTTTTAATTCTTGTGGTGATTGCATTGGTCTTTTATTTACTAGATGTGCTGTAAATATGTAAACATATGTTTCAGGCATGTCAAAGCAACAGCAATTATAATGATTCCCCAGATAGGTGGAGAAACCCCATTACAAGGAAGAAGTTGTAGTGAAAATGCAGACCAAACAAAGTGCAGTTAAAGACACCACACATTCTGTGTATCGGATGTCTTAGCAACCAATTGGTGTTAAGCTGACCATACACCTATAGATTTTCTGCAGATTTTCTATGGTCAGATGGAAAAAGTGCAACAGATTCATCCACCTATGCTAAAGTGAATGGATGGAGGAATCTCCCACTGAGCTAAGCTTCAGTATCTTGCTAGTCGGCTCCGCTGGCTCTCAAAATACCTGAACAATATGAATACATAGAACCATAGAAAATCTGCAGATAATCTATAGATGTATGGCCAGCTTTAATCATGTGTTGAATGTAAATACTGAATAGAAGGTGAATTTAGTAATTCAAGTTACTAACGTCACAAAAAATCCATGTTATTGCTTCTCAGTTCCACTTGCCTGATTCTGTCTCAGCAATTCCTGCGTTTCCTGCTGGCACCTCTGTAGCTCTCTCTCCCGCCCTGCAGCAGCCTGATTCAGCGCTCCAATCTCCAGACACTTCTGTGAGTAATGTTCGGACAGGGTCTGCAGCTCCCGTCTTAGAGCTTCCATATCAGATCTAGCAAAAGGAGGTGCAACACAAAAAGATTTAACTGCAAATTACCACACTGGAAATGAGCAGCATGACTAATGCATGCAAGGAAAAGTTAAATCATCTTTCATTGATGTGTATTTCCACTATTGCAGCCAAATTGGGAAACACATTTTATATTTGTTACATGTTCTCATTCACATAGCGTACACATAACTTGTAAAAAATTTAAATTGCTACCGGCATAATAACTTCTCATAATACTAGTTTTCTCTAAATAGAGTTTTCCTCTGGAATGCAAGGGGGCTGAGGTGGTGACCATAAATAACCCTGTCAGTACTGTGCTGGCAGATCTACTATATAATATCTAATATAGTGAATAAGTTGCGCTTGATCTAAGTGAATGTGAATACCAGAGTAAAGAATAAATCATAAACAACACAAACATCTATATAAATGCCGTAATCTTCTATCTCATTATGTAATCGATACGTCAGTGTGTAAATGTCCAAGAAATTTTTGAGGCATGTGATATGTGGAACGTGTATTCATCCACCCCACAATATATTAATAAATATATGTGTGACAGACACGCCAGGCTCACTTAATGTAGCGCGGAGTAATCTGTGACAAACAAACAAAAAAAAATAAAGCAACCTAGTTGAAATCCTTATATAAATAACCCGTCTAGTACTCTTGCATGTGTAAACTTAATCTGGTGAACAACGATAGTGGTTTAGATACCTAATCGTGGATTCAATCACTGCCCAATTTCGGTCACCGAGATACTAAAAAGTGTGTGCATATTATTATTATTATATTTTTACGATTAGGTATTGAAACCACTATCGTTGTTCACCAGATTAAGTTTACACATGCAAGAGTACTAGACGGGTTATTTATATAAGGATTTCAACTAGGTTGCTTTATAATTTTTTTGTTTGTTTGTCACAGATTACTCCGAGCTACATTAAGTTAGCATACAAAAAATTATTTTGAGGTGCATGTAAACCACATAGAAAACACATAAAAATATGAATTGGCTGACCTAACAAAAGAGGAGGGTAGCAAAATAGCAATAAATGAACTTGAAAATAGCAATGAACTTGAATGTCACCCATCAAGGGACAAAACATTGTCCCTTGATGCACAACAGATGCATCCAGGGATAGTGATTGATTCTAACCACATGTAATCATATCACTACATGCAGTATGCAGGTGTTTATAAGCAGCGGCTGTCACCCGATTAAGGATTCCTGCTGCAGGAAAATGCAAGTTCCTGACGCAGGAATCCCTAATCGCACCTAAACTTACAGCTGTGAATGGAGCCTAATACATGTCCCCCCTCCGTACACATAACAAAATGCAAACAAAATACTACCCCTGCACATATAAAATAATACACCTCCCTCCCCTGCACACCCACATATAACATAAAACAAAGAGCTTCCTCTCCTGCTTATCTCTTTGCAGGGAGGAGGTGCGATCCCTGGTGATCTAGTGGTTGATTAGTACAGTCTGGTGCATAGATATATAGTTGCATAGTATTTGAGGTTGAAAAAAGACACAGACCTTACAAATCCATCCTTTCGGCCAGCGTTCACTGAAGGATTTCTGAGCGCTGGCCAAAAGGATCCGAATGGCGGCAAAGGAGAAGCAGCTAAGCGGTCAGCAGATGACAGAGATGCAGACCGTGTAGCTGCTCCCGCAAGTCAAGTATGAGGTCTGTGACCGCATGCCTGACTTGTCAGCTGGCTGTGGTCCACATAGTACCAGCTCGCGGGCCGGTATGTTGAGACCCCTGCCCTAAATGAACACTATACTGATACAACTCATGTATGAACAGGATGACATTGAGAATTGTTATCGCGTTACATAGTTTTCAAGGTTAAATAAAGATACAGGTCCATAAAGCAGCCAGATGTCAAGATGAAGTCACTTTTAATGATACCCCTGTTCATCTTTTACCAAACATTTCCAGGCAAACCGTGGCACTGTGATATGCATTTAAACTACTCTTAGGTCGTCCCTTATGACCACCACAACCAATGCCATTCTCTCATTCTTTACAGTTATGATGATCCTGGTGATCACTGTCTAGAATGGACTTACTATAACTTATCATGAGATGCTTTAGGTCGGCCTTAGTTTACTGATTTATTTTGATTGATGTTTACAATAGATTGTTTGAACTGTGCACACTGTTCCCCCTTTTGGGGGAACTACAGACCTATATCACTTCTGAACTTGGATTTAAAGATTTACTACCAAACTCTCACAAACAGGATTTGGCTCTTGCTCCCCAACTAAGTTACATAAATTAGTCCGATTGAAAAAAAACATCTCTATCTAGCTCAAGTAACACAAGAAAAAAAAAAAGTAAAACGGAAACCTCCATATACAGAACTCTATATCCACAGCTGATCCAGTGCATGACAAAAGTAGCCCTTATAAAAGCACAGCCCAGCTTAATTCATAAAGAAAAAGTGGCATTTGTCCCTGCTTATGGACCCGAGAGACACCACCATTAAAACCATAAATCTTATTTCCTACCTCTACAAACACAAAACACCAGCCTGTTTTCACTCAACAGATGCTGAAAAGGCTTTCAACAGGGTCAGCTGGAACTTTCTCCATTTATCCTTAGCACAAATAGGTTTTGGCCTTAATTTCATTACCAAAATAATGTCACTGTGCTCTGCCTCATTTGCTGGAATTCTTATTAATGGTACCCTATCAGATACGTTCCCCTTTAAACTTTAAAAAAACAAAGATGTCCCCTTTCCCTGCTCCTGTTCCCGATAAGTGATGGAAAATCTGACCAATTTTATCTGAAACAATGCCACCATACACCGGATCAACCACACTGTTCTATCACACAATGTCCGTGCAATCTACGTCTATCTACAACAAGCCCACAATCAATACCATCAACATTTTAAAGTTTTGGAGATCTGAGCAATTTCAAGGTTAACATCTATAACACTAAAACAAACATTTCTAATTTTCCCTCCACCCTCAACCGTGCTCAAAAACAACTTTTCATTTCAATGACAAGCACGGTGCACAACTTGTACTGACATATTGATCACTTCCAAGCTCAGGGCTCTTTATATTTTAAACTGTCCTACTAAACGGAGCCAAAAAATATTTAGCAGAATGGTATAACCAAAAAAATCCTTGTCAAAATATTTCGAGATGCTCCCGACCATCCCAATCATAACACCCAAATCCCTTTTCCACAACTTAAAATCCCTTTCTATTAGAGTTATCTTAAACAAGGCCTGTCCTTCACTCAATCATAAGATTTGATGTTGCCCAAAATGCAGTGGTGGTGCTGGCTAACATAACTCTTACAGTATATCACAAAGCCTCCTTAATCTTACGCATACTAGACTGGTTCATACTCGCTGAGATAAGAGGGTAACACATTTGTTAAACATGAATTTTTTCCTCTGGATTTAAGACAACTACCCTGGTTTATTATGGCTTGATACCCACCACAAACTTGTTCTTTTACACTAAACAACTGCCACTTCCCACACTTGGACTTTGGCACAAGAAACCTAGAAGTTTTCCTCTCCTTGACAATTTGGACCTTCCTATAACCATCTCCACCCTTATTCTTGTTGGATATGGCAGAGCTGGCCTCTCACGATGCACAAAATCAACAACTTCTCCACCATTAAAACTATGGATAAACACTATAAAACCAAATGTGTATCTTACCTGTAAGAACTGTTCTTGGAGTATGTCACAGGACACAGCGAGTTAAATTATTTACTCACTGGGTAATGCAGCTACCTTCAAGTAATTGGACCACGGCAAACCAATTAAAGCTGGCCTCCCACTCCCAGCCTACCTCAGTTTTGCAGCAAGCAGTACATAGTGGATCACAGAATACAGAGAGGAGGGTCCCGTGTCTTGTGATGTACTCCAAAAAATGGATTTTAAAGACAAAAAAAAAAAAAAAAAAATCACATTTTATGCTGTGAATCCATATTGTTAAGGGTGGAGAAGTAGTAATAATTACATTTTCTTGATTGGAAGGACACACTGAGTTAAAACTGTAACCAATGGGACATCCAAAAGCAGTCTAACAGAGGGGCAGGCAACAGGAAGTAGAAGGAGGCGGCGCAAGTAAGGTTCCCGGGCCCGTAGGCTGCAATAGAAGCACCCATCGATGCCAAATTCAAATCCTGAGCTGAACGCACAGCTAAAAGGGTGAACTCAAAGTTGCATGGGAGCCACAGATTTAACTGTGGTACCTGTGAGGGCTGACGGAGCCTTACCTGAGGGGCTTGCTATGGATGTGCCCTTACTACACATGTGCAGTGGTCAGCACATCCCATCTTCAAACACCCTTTGAGGGGGGGTCTTCAAGTACAGGGCTCCATGAAAGAAACACTGCCCTGAACCTGTTAAGTACCCTGCGCCTAACCGCACATGCTACAATTTTGTATTGTTGACATGTGCCGATTGATTCATATGAAGTGTGAACTATTATTTTTTTAACAATATAGTTTGAATTTTTAATGTTGGTTATAAGCAATAAAGTATATCTAAATCCAATCACTAAAATCTCTTTGTAATGTAAAGGTTACATTAACATTACAATGTTAATGTAATCTTTTTAAATAGGCAGCTTTAAAGTAAAGATGGTGGTAATTCTGCCATTAGGGACCTTGTTCAGGTACTTCCAGTATAGGGTGACAACTGTCTTCCAGTTGTGCTGCTGAGTGGTCACTCTGTCACATGCATCTTGGTGGAGACTACTAGCAGCTGCACTGACACACCTTGAACAGGCATGGCCCACTGCTGTCACCACCAGGAAGCCAGTCTAGAAATGGATTAAAAAACAAAAAAAAACACCACGTGTTTTTAAAAGTAAACATAAAAACCAATCACATACTAGCAGACAATGTACAGTGCTTTAACAAACTAAATGCTTTCCAGTTAGGGTTTGGATATACTTTAAAGCAAAGCATTATTTACCACACAAAAATAAAGCAGGGAATGTACATACTGATGTTGCCGTCGGAGCATCTCATTTCCAGTCGATCCTCCATATTGGAATGTACGAGCCTTCTCAACTTCGCGTTGCAGCTCCTCCTTGTGGGCAGCTCTGAGTGCCTCAATTACTAGGGAAAAGAAGGCTCAGGCTCAAAAATAAATAAATGCACATTATGTCTTTTATTAATGTACGTGCATGAAAGGCTGGACTATGCCTTTTACAGTCCTAAAATTGCACACTATATAGTGATTTACCAGATGCTGTAGCTGCAGCTTCCTCTGCTAACAGTTGGTCCTTCTCTTGTCGCAGTCTCTGAATTTCCCACTCATGATGTCTCTGAAGTTCGGTTAGGAGATGCTTGTGAGAAGTCTCCATTTGTGACAGACTGTACTCACAAGCTTCCTGTAAAACAAACAGGACAGCAGTCTAAGCACTAATTCACATCAACTGATGATAATGCCATCACCATGTAGAAAAGGGCATGCAATTGTGTATTAATAGAAATAACAATACAGTTTAGAGTACATTAGAGTAACTCTTGTTATTTATACAGAAGAGTTTCACATCGTAATGCTCTACATAGTACTATGTGTCCCCAGTTATTTACAAACACTGGAGTGATCAGCCGATCGCTCCAGTGTTTGTCCTACACAGAGGATTGGTACATACTAGTGACATGTACCGATCTCTCTCCCCTCACGAGGAGTGAGGGGAGAGAGAGGCGCCGGCTGTCAGATCCTGGCCGAGCGTCTCTTTCTCTCTCCTCACTGCTCTGCATTAGTTAGCGACAGCGGCTCCGTCCTCCGCCGCCGCCGGTTCCTTCACTTCTTCTGGGATCCCCGCTGGGGAGAGCAGCGGGGATCCAGAGAAGCGGCGGGAGGAGAGGACATGGCGATCTACCAGTGATCGCTACGCGATCGACTGGTAGATCGCGATCGACCTTGTGGGCACCCCTGCTCTAAAACAAAACAACGTGCTGCATTTTTGACAAAAGTTACATGAAACCTATGAAAGTCACAGGTCACCTACAGTGCACAGGTATGGAAGAGTTTGAATCCTTTCGTGCAGGGGCGTCCTGAGGCTGCGTGCCACCCGGAGCGGAGACCGGGTGACACCCCGCTGTGACATCGCGCACATGACGTCATTGAGCATACGTGGTTGTCTTATTGACGCCTGCCAGCGGCCATCTTGGTGATGGACGCCGGCAGAGAGCCTGACACTGTCTGGCTCTCGGTCCGTGACCGAGTGCCCGACTTTTCATAGGGGGTGACAGGAAAATGACTGTCAAGTCATTTTCCTGTCACCCCTCCAATGGTGGCACACCCCTTGTGACACCACTGCTTTTGTGTTCACATATTTTGATATGTACTGTGAGAGATTTTAACATCCAATGTGACTCACCTGAGAAATAAAGCCTGGAGGAACTGTCCCTTCAAATCCTCCTTTCTGAGATTCTATTTCTTTCTTTGCTTTGTCAAGTTGCATCTTTAAACTCTGTAGCTAAAAAAGTGTGACAGAAAATGCACTTTTAAATCAATGGATAAACAAAGACAAATATAAAACTCATATGACATTCATAGAACACATACAGTATATCCAATTTAATTGCATGATTATTTAGTGCCACCAAATCTTTTACAACATAGCTGCAAATGAGGAGGTCCATCAAGTATATCCCTTGTATATTTTAATGCAACTCCCAAACTATTATTGCACAGTAGCCATGCTTAAAGTGGACCTTTAATTAAAAATTTCCACTTCCTGGTCCTTTAGGAGTTAGTGATGTAGCCTATGCCAAATAGATGCATCCTGGGAAGGTTATATCACAGTGCATTGCTGGGAAATCTCATCTGTAAACTGAAAAATCTCACAAGATCTCAGGGAAAGGCATTTTTCCCTGAGATTATGTGCACTGCCACATGTACTAGACACATGTGCCAGAGTTCCAGGAAGTAAAGGGAGATTGAATAATCTGCCCTTAGGAAACATTGCCACTTTGAGAAGAATGGGGAAGAAAGGAAAAATAAGGTATGCAAGAAAGACAAAAGCCGGCAATTATCTATAAGTCTCTGTTTGCAGATTGTCATTACTAAAGATTTCTAAAGGCGCCTTTGTTGTCAATGCAAAGGGTAAAAGTTCATATTTAAAGTATGCAAGTACTCAAACCAAGCAAACACACCACAGTATTGGTCTTTCAAATACAAGCAAGAACTTTTTTTTTTTTCAAATTCCATGTCCAGATTGTTTCAATTTATACATAAATGATTGCTAGAGCAACATAGAACATATCTACGTTTGTCTGCTCAGGACATTCCAAATGTTCTATTTATGTAAGGAGTTATTCCAGTTAGATGTAAATTTTCATCTCAATAATATACTCAGGAAGCATTTTTGTTATTTTAGATAAAGCAGGGAAGGGTTAGAACCCCTGTCAAAAGGGAAAATTTACTTGTTCTGGTGATAATTGTCACCGGTGCTGAAAGTAAGGGAAATCTTCCCAATAGAGCACAGATGGCAGGCAAAAAACCCCCCCAAAAAACACAAACATATGGGTTTTTAAACCCATTATATATTTGTACTATTATTTTCTCTATTAGCATTCTCTGTACTACTTGGATGTTTTTTCTCTTCAATCAAAATGCCTATTACATTGCTTGAGCTGGTCTCTACACAACACCTATCCGGTTAGGCTTATCCTCACCATTGCTTCGGAAGCCATACTTAGACTCCACTGAAATAAAGATTGTGGGGCCTGCCTAGAATGTGATCTTCTGACACTGTGGCACTTTCAACACCTTAAGTGTACTGTGTTAGTCAGACACAGGTTGCTTGGCCCAGGTCCAAGGCCATGGCCTTTGGTGTGAAACAGTCTCTGAAGACTCACTCTGCAAGTAAGGCACATGGAGGAGAGAAGGTAATTGGGGAAGAGGAACTAGAATAGGACCTTGCACTGGGCTCTGTATTCTGGAGCTTTTCCAGACCTGTGTGTACACTCAGTTAGCTGCTAACTCTCAGTTTCTGAGCAGTGGAACAGCCTCTGGTGTAACCCATTCTCTGCCGACTCCATCTGTAAGTATGCCTCTAAAAGTTGGTGAAAATAGCCTGGTATCTGGCAGTTGAGCACTGAGCTCTGCATTGTGGCACTTTTCAGTCCTCTCTGGACTGTATTATTTAGCCACAGAGCGTTCTCCAGCTTTATGGCAATAGTACAGCCTCTGGTGTAGCCCACACTCTGATATTTTCCAGTATATGTAAAATTCTTGTGTCCCCCCAATGGACGATACAGAAAATGATCTTTAACGGAGTACCATTCTATGGAGCATGTGTGGCCCTGCAACATGTGTGCCAGGCTAACTTTACATGGTGATGTGGTGTGGATAGAAGCTGAAAAATGTAGACTCTTTCCCTCATTCCCTTCTTCACCACCTAACAAGTTATTAACCTAAAATAGACACGCAGGATGCACAACATTTCACACCTCACTGGCTAAAAACTTTTCAAACAATGACTCAGGTAATGAAGCAAGTTGAAGATGAAAGTGCCAAAGCCTTCACCTAAATATGTAAAGGCAAAGTTTTTCCACTGTGTGCAAGTTTTCGGAGGCAGCACTGGGGTGTAAAAGCATCGATATCGACTGGCATCTATGATGGCTATGTTTCATGCATTAATATGGATTTAAAAAGTTATGTATATCTAAAGCCAAAACGTTTTTTCCTAGGGTAGGGAATAGCAAAAAACCCATCAGTTTTTTTTTTTTTTTAAATTATCCGTGTTACATTGGCAAGATTTCTCTTCCCTTACTGTCCTATAAACAAAACAGGAAATTGAGTGGAAATCTCTCTAAAGCAAAGGACATCCCCTCTTAGATGGCTGTCAAGAACAATTCTCCCCATCAAAAGAATTTCCATTCATAGATGAAAGGGTGTGTACATGGATAGAGAACTGGCTAAAGGAACGGGTACAGAGAGTATCAATAAATGGCACCCTCTCAGACTGGGCTAGTGTCAGTAGCGTGCCTCAGGGTTCTGTGCTGGGACCGATGCTTTTCAACCTGTTTATTAACGACATCGGGGACGGAGTAAACAGCGATATCTCAGTGTTTGCTGACGATACCAAAATTGGGAGGGTAATAGAAACGGACCAAGATAGTATAACATTACAGGAGGACCTGGATAAAATAGGGGAGTGGGCAACCATGTGGCAGATGAAGTTTAATGTCGATAAATGCAAAGTTATGCACTTTGGGGAAAAAAATAAGAATAAGCAAATGGGTTATACAATTATGGGTATGCCGCTAGGGAAGTCGGAAATGGAGAAAGATTTGGGGGTCATTGTAGACCATAAACTGAATAGATTACAGTGCCAGGTTGCTGTAAGCAAAGCAAGTAGAATCCTGTCCTGCATCAAGAAGGGAATGTTTTGCAGGGACAAGTCTATAATTTTGCCACTTTACACATCACTGGTTCGGCCTCACCTGGAGTATGCGGTGCAGTTTTGGGCACCGGTGCACAGAAAGGATGTCCTTGAGCTGGAAAGAGTCCAGCGGAGGGCAACCAAACTCATCAAAGGGATGGAGGACCAGAACTATGAAACAAGGCTACTAAACTTAAATATGTTCACGCTGGAAGTAAGGAGATTAAAGGGGGATATGATTTTCATGTACAAGATGTTCTATAGTCATAGCAACTAACTCTTTAAGATTAATTCCGTAACGAAGACTAGAGGCCACCACCTAAAACTGGTAGAAAAAAAATTCAAACACAAGGGGCGAAGGGCGTTTTTCTAAGTTCGCGCGGTTAGGGTCTGGAACTCTCTGCCACAAGCAGCGATTTCAGCAAATAGTGTGGAATCATTCAAGAAGGTTTTGGACGATTTCCTGAGAGACCATAATGTACAGGGGTACAGGTACTCTTAAGAATGAGATGACTCGGGGACCTATACACACACACACACACACACACACACACACACACACACACACACACACACACACACAAATAGGTTGGACTTTATTCAACCTCAAATACTATGTAACTATTCTATTCCTGTTCTGGTGTCAACTCAAAATTTCAGTCCTGGTGACAATTATCACCAAAACAAACAAAAAGTAATTCTCAGGAAAAAACATGTAGACCTCTCCAACTGCTGATACATTAATATGCAATATTTCCACACCAAAATACATGCACTCAAAACATACTGTTCAGTCTTTTTAAAGTGCACTAATGCCAGGCTATGGACATTAAACTTTAAACCTATTAACAACCAGTAAAGAAGCTTTAAAAGAAACCACCCCCCGACCTTGCTACAACATCAACAAAGATGCTAAAGTATTATTTCATTTGGATTCTAACAGCTTAGAAATACCTGCTGTCTGTTTACATTAGAGGGCAGGCTATCTGCCAAGATATTGCTCTTCTAGAAAAAGGCTGACATTTCTGTGCTGTTGTGTACTTTGGAAACACATTTCTCTACAATGTCTATAGCTACAGAGGCAAAGCAGGACTTTTTTAACCACTTCAGTACCAAGGTGCATATATAAACATCTGGCAATTATCGATTTGATAAATATTTACGCAAACATCGTGTGACAACAAATAGCAACTAGCACTTTTTTATTCTACAGGGCCTCTACTTTCAGAAAATACATCATTTTAGGGGGGTTTAACTGTTTCCTAGCCAAAACTTCTAATTTTAAAATGTATGAAAAATTAAAAATTGCTGTGGTAGCAAAGTGGTTAAAGTTTTTTAACCCCTTAGTGACCAGTTTTGTCCATAGTACGTCACTGGCACCGGGCCAGTTTAAACAGACTCCCGGCGGCTAAAGACTCTGTTTACAATTGTAAAGACGACTGCCGGGTTTACAATAGAAGCAATCGGGCGACTCAGCTGTCGCACGATTGCTTCTCTGGGTTGGTAAACGGGGGCGCCCCCGCCTGACACCCAGGCCGTGTTTTCCGGGTTTCGTTGCCCCTCCTACGGGCCCGAGACTTCTCTGGTGTCGGGGCAAACCTGGGGAGGAGATCAGCGAACCTCTGTTCGCCATTCCCCTCCCCGTACTATGGGAGTGGGAGCGATGCAGACTGAATCACTTCTGGTCCCATAGCTGTCAGTGCTGGGCTCCTGAAGCCCAGCCATAAGCTATAGAAGTGCGATCTGCACTTTAATAGCTTATTTCTAGTGTAAAGGTGACACTAGGGGTCTTTTGGACCCCCAGCATCACCTTAAAGAGGACCTGTCATCACCAATCTGCTATCACATGGGGGATTGTAAGCTCCCCAATGTGATAGCAATTAAAGTAAAAAATTAAAAAAATAGGTTTTTAAAATATTAAATAAATGTAAAAATACTAAAAAAAAATGTTTAAAGTCCCCTGCCATCGCGAGCACGATTTCACATAAACACGCGGCGGGTACGCCTACGTATGAAAATGACGATCGCACTACACATGTTGGGTATCGCCACGCACGCCGGAGTGAGAGCAATAATTCTAAGGCCAATATTTACACTTATCTTTAAACTGATGACCTGTGGGGGGTTCTAAAGCGTTATCTATGGACTTTTTTGGGTACTGAATTTTGTCGCAGTTTCACGGGACGCACACAATTTTTATCCTCGGCATTATTTACTCGTTGTGACCTCATCTTTTATATTTTATTGTAAAAAATGTAATTGTGTTTTGGGGCATTTTCACTACATTTTGGGGTTTGATAATGTGTTGCGCTAATATCGTGCAACATAAAAAATTTAAACTGCCACCATTTTATTCTACAGTGTCTTGGCTTTCAGAAAATATATGATGTCTGGGTGGTTGAAGTTATTTTCAGGCCAAAAATGTGGATTATATCATGGGAGTAAAAAACTGTGAAAAAAGGCCTCGGTCACTAAGGGGTTAAAGTAGTATTAAAAAACTCTCAATCTTTTTTTCAATAATTATTCGAAATCAAATATACAGTACCGGCACTTTTGCCCAAGCACTTGCAGTCCTCATATTTCCAAACAGCTAGCTTGGTTTCCCTGAACTCTCTGTACAGTACAAGATCACACGGGACAGAGCAGTCTCCAGCAGCTCTCCATCTGCTGGCTTGGGGAAGAAGTGGGGAGCAAGGGATAAGGGAGTGCCTTGCCCTGCTTTGGCTGTGTGTTTGTGTAGACACACACAGCTTAATAAAACACTAAGGGTGGCTCCATAAGACCCTGCAAGAGAAAGGAGCCACCCTAAAACAGTATATAAGGGCCAGTGATCAAGGGACCAGTTGATTCTGGAAGAAGCTAAAAGAAGTTTTAAATATCAAGGAGCAGCATTTACTGTAAGTGATTTAATCACATTTAATATCAATTTAACTGCTTGTTCAGAATATATGTGCATAGTCTGAGAACAGGTTCACATTATCTTCCACAAAATGTACCTGTTTTTCAAGTGTTGCTGTGTTCTCCCCCATAGTTTTGCTTTTGTTTCCTGCAAGCAAACAGGTAAGAGAAGTCTGTTTGGTCTCCCGTAACGGCAACCGCTCCAGTTCTTTCCATTTAGCCTCAATATCTTCATTGAGCCGCTGCTTCTGCTCTTCAGACAGAGGTGCAGTGGGATTTCGACGAGTGCTCAGTGTGTCACTTCCTGGAGTAGCTTCAAACCAGCGCTTCCTCTCCTCCAATCTCTGATCCCGCTCTACCCCAGGGGAGAGTGGTGATAACTCAACATAGTCAAAAGAACCCTGTCGCGATCCTACCACCTCTATTTTTCTCTGTCTAACTTCAGACCCCAGACGCAGATCATCTGGTCTTGGTGTAGAGCGAGGGGGCACAAATGTATTTTCCTTATTACTTTCAGAAAGCCTAAAATGTAAAGCAAGAAAAGATACAAGAAATATATTGTATGTTTATTGCAAGTCCTATACTGCACAAAAAAAACTGTATTTTTCAGTGCCAAAATTTACAAAAGGTACATCTGTTCAGACAAGTATATTTTGCATTTACATTACCCCAGGGGACAGTGTGCAGATGCTAAAACTAACTCTTTTATCCAGGAACTTATCTTAGATAAATAATTCTAATTCTAGATGTCAGTATCTACATCTTGTGGCTGGACCTAAATCTGAACCTGTGAAAATGCAAGCCAAGTGTCCCCTAGTTTTGCCACCACCCTATCTACTGCAGCATCCTACTGTAGCCTCGTTCACATATTACTGCATGAGAACAAGGCTGCAAAGCACCTTCAGAAACAGAAGCGAGAACCTAGATAAATCTACCACAAGGGATTAAAGATAGAAAAATTGAATAGACTTTTCATGTATTGTATATCATTGCTGCCCTGCCTTCTATTAATAGGTCTGATTTTACTAGTTCACTCGCATCCCCATTTAACACACCACTTCAATAACAAAGTTCAAGCATGGGAAGTTTGATTAGAGTGTTTTGCAAATTATCAATTGCCACCTGGTACACTCTCAGAAACTTCCTGCATCTTAAAATATTTATATATATATATCAGGCAATGGTAAGACTATCAGCAGTTTGATGTGCCACAACTATATTAAAAACTGTGAATTTTCTCCCTTTTTAAAAACACAATCCAAGTACATCAAGTTATGATTAGCTACAGTGTAAGTAACCCTATTGCATATTCTTATTACCCAAAAGTTACATTATTCTTAGACATCTTTGGTAAAACTTTGGTAAAACTAGATACCTGAACCAAAACACAGGGGATTGTAAGGTGTTAACCTGTGCAGTAAGGGAAAAACATTTAACGTCTAAAATGTCAAATTTGATTACATAATTTTATGTTTATACATTCATTTTTTATTTAAATATTTTTATTTTTTACTTTACTTTCAGGGGCTTTGGGGAAATATTAGGGGTATAGACAGACTGCTGATTAGGTGTGAAAAGTAGCGGTCTCTCTAAAGTGGTCAAACACACCCCCTGCATGATTACAACTGGAGCTCCCCTTTCAGCAAAGCTTAGCTTTCCTGCCAATTGGGGAGATCTAGCTCTGACTCAGCAGGTGTTGTGTTGGACCTCTGCAAGGAGACTACTGCTTCCACACAGAGAGCAAGGGTAATTTTCTGCTGCATAGTGCCAGGGGACAGGATTTTCTCCTCAGACTGTGGCTTATTTTTAAAGAAAAATTTGCACACCTTTTGTTTTTATGCACCTCAAATGTATTTAGCCACATTTAACTGAAAGTTCAATTGGGCTTTAAAAGAATTACAACTTACTTTGTTACATCAGGTATGCTAACTGGGTGCACATTCTTTCTCAGGGCCTCAATCCAATTCCTGCGAATGCCAGAAGTCATAGCGGAAAGTGTGAATACACCTTCATTTGTCTGGAAGGAACAAGCAAAAAGAAGAAACATGTGAAGATCTCAGGAATGCAAACACCTTTAAAACACTTTCTTAAAGGGTTATTAAACCCTCTGGTGTTTTTGCATATAGCTACTGCTAGCAAGCGGTTTACACTTACCTGCGTCTTCTCCGCACGCTTCCGTCCGAAAATGTGAAAATTCTCGGGTGGCCACAAAGCATCTTGGGGCTGGCGCATGCGCAGTTCACATTTTTGGCCGGGAGATGAGGAGAGACACAAGGTAAGTATATGGACGGCATGCACCCGCATGCAGACACCGTGGGACAGGGAGTGCCAGCAAGGACAGAGGAGTCAGCGCTGGATCGGAGACCCGCAGCAGCGCTGGACGGACAGATGAAAACGACAGGAAAGAAGAAGATCGGATTAAGAAACATCATTTAAGGCAAGTGCTTTAATTAACATTGGGGGGAGGGAAAAATATCTTTGACTTTAATCTCACTTTAAGAAAGTATTTAGTATATTTATAAAATGTTCATATATCAACAAATTATTTTAAAGTACATCCAAACAAAAACAAAAAAAATTAAATACATTGCCGTTTATCAATCCTTAAAGTGACAATAAACTCAGGAGTTAAATCTTAAAAATTCATTCAAGCAAATTAACAAAAATGTAGCTTATTTGTGCATCACTCGGCTGTGGATCCTCAAATCATCTCTGAATTGGTGTTGATACTGTCCTTCCTTCTGGATGGTGGCTACTTTTGCCATGGTCCCTGCGTGTGTTATAAAGTAGCCACCGCTCCAAGCTCACTCCCATGATGGACTATAGCCTCAATACAAATTAGTAAACTAAATGTGAGATTGTATTCCATCAAGGGAATGGCCTGGGTAATGAAAGCCAGATAATATTGGACAGAGGACTGTCGGTGATTAGTACGATGCTTAAGGCTCAAAAATATATATCCCTGAAAATGTGCCATCAAACCTGAAAAGTTTATATTGCATGGTGTTCATACAAGTACATCCACATTCCTTTTCAGTAGCACAGATCTTGGCCGTTCTTCAATGGGGAGTGGATCAACAGCTTGCCTTAGGTACTTTCAAGGGACACGTGTCAGCCTTAGCAGTCTTCTTTCACCTCTCAACTCTTGGTGTTCCGGTCTCTAATTCGCACGTTCATCCAAGGTGTTATGCATGTGCCTCCTCTGGTCCGACCTCCAATATCGCTGTGGGACCTGAACTTGGTACTTTGTTTTACAGAAACCACTCTTTCTGGTGGCCATCACCTCGGCCTAGAAGGTTTCACAGTTGGCAGCCTTGTCCTGCAAGCCTTGATTTTTTAGTTTTATAAAAAGACAAGGTGGTTCTACATCCGAGGCTTTCATTGTTGCAAAGAGGTCTGCTTTTTATCTTAATGAGGCTATTGTCATTCTCTCACTCCGTCTCCGGCTGGTTCACCATAAAGAAATGGCTCTTTTCTGCTTGTATGTACTTAGGGCTGTGCCCGGCTACTTCTACACTACGGCCTTGTTTTTTCAGACCAATTCTCTGTCCATGGTCATCGGTGCCCATGCAGGGGTAGCCGCCTTGGCTATCATTCCAAAATGGATTGTACAAGCTTACCCATTAAAAATCAGGAAGCTCCTTTACCTACCACAGACCATTCCACTAGAGTGGTTAGTGCATCCTGAGCTTTTCACCATCAGGCATCTGTTTAGAAGGCTGTCATTTGGTCATCAGTCCACATTTTCACAAAATTGTGGACCAGTGGAGAAAGCGCCGGAGACAGATAAAGGTTGGAGGAGAAGAACTGGGCTGGGGGAGTGGAATGAAATTCTATTTTGTAACCTGAATCAATGCATTTGTGGATCCTGCGGTCCAAAATATGAGCCAACCAATGATCTGCAAATAAGCGAAGAGGGCTCCCCCCCCCCCACACACACACCCTGAGATGGGCAGGCTGGGGAGAGCCTTTATGCAGGAGAAGGTTTCTCGGCTTGCAGGAATTAAGCTGTCAAGATCTCTTCGGCCCACAAGAGGACGATTTTCCCGATTTGTGGCCCCTATGCCATGTGCTTTGGAGACGTAAAAGGCGCTTGTTAATGGAAAAGCAAAGACCCTGATTATGCCGAGGCTCCTTTCCTTTTTTTAAGCCTCAGTACGAGATCAAGATCTCCACTGTGTCCTTCAATGAACGGAAAAGAAATAAGATTTTTGTGCTCACAGTAAAATCTTTTTCTTGGAGTCCATTGAGGGACTCAGGAAGTCTTTCACCTTCAGGAAGACTGGACACTGGCAAACAAAAATCTGAAGGCCAGAACAATATAATCCCTCCTACCAACAAGCCTCTGTTTTTTACCACACAGTACCAAGAACATGATCCAAAACACAGAGAGGTGTGACCTGTATACCTCAAGAAGAAGAATTATGATTGAAGTACTAAATACCAGCAAAAATAAAATAAGTTACATTTTTCCCAGCGGAGTAAAAGAAAAGATCTCTATAGAACACAAGCAAAAAACGTACACATGCTGATAGTAGAAAGGGTTATCCTGGGCTGGCCTAAAGTTTTTTTGTTTGCCAGTGTCCAATACTTTGGAAAGGTGAAAGACTTCTTCTGTCCCTCAACAGATAAGAAATACATGCTGAAGTTTTTATTTATAAGGTCAATGCAAGCCCTAGAAAAAAAAAAAAGTTACACTCACATGAATCTGGAAACCATAATTCCTCTGTACAGGGAACTCAGGCACGTCAGTGCAAGTCCGGAGATCAATCTCACCATCCAGCTCATCTGCCTAAGGAAAAAAAAATGGTCATGTTAAACTTTGTGCATTTTCCCTTTGAACTGCAAGACAGACTTTCTTATCAAATGTGTTTGGTCTTCAAGGCTGCAATCAAGTCTTTGCTATCACAAAGATAAAAAAATTACATCCAAAAACACCATCAATACAGAGGGTGAAACAGAGGTCACAGTGAGACTTCTAATTATGGACTGTAAGCAAAAGTTCTGCCAAACCGATGTTGTATTTACCTGATGTCAGACACTCAACTACATAGAGAGGAGATTTAGTTAAGAGTCCAGAAAAGCAGGGTTTATTCCTCTGTTATGGCTAAAAGCCATATGCTTTCTAGTGAACAGCTTGTTGAAGCCTATTTTTAAAGTATCTATGGTCAAAAATAAAAATGACATATCAATGCTCTCTAGCATAGTAGAGCTATAGAGATTTAATAGAGATTTGAATATCTTCAAGAGTGATATACGCTTTTATGCTCGCTACGTTGATGACCTGATCTTCACTGTGAACCAGAGTTCGGATTTGGAGGCATTTTTACAATATTTGAATAAGAATATGTTAAACTTAGGGTTCACCATGGAGAAACAGGATACCTTAATGAATTACTTGGATCTGACTTTGACTGGATCTGTAGATGGGGCTATACAGGTACGTTCCTATCGGAAACATATTATTAAGGGCTGGAAGTTGCCATCCTAATTATGTTAGGGCCATTCCGAAAGGACAATTCAATCAAAACTTCAAACGAAATTGCACAAAGAGCAAAGATTTATGTACAGAAATCTCCGATTTGAAGATGCGCTTTTTGGGAGCGAGGCTAATCTCGTTCGCTCAGAAAGAAAACATATAAACAAGTATGTAGGATTGCAGGGGTAATTATTTAACAATAAAAACATAAGAAACAATTTGGAAGAGGTATGAATCCTATTATTTTTTACTCGATTTAGTTTACAAATTAATGAGATCAAAAAGATTTTGAGGAGATATTTACCAGTTCTATATGGAGACTTACATTTTAGGAGGAGTTTTAAAATCTGGAGAAAACTTCTGTGGCTAGAAAAGCACCTACAATAGGGAATATCCTCTCCCCTAGTCTATTTAGGAGTAATAGAGGTTCTAAAGGGAATTGATTAGGAACTACAGGCATTCACAAATGTAACTCCGCCCGTTATTCCAGTTGTGATATTTGAGGGGACACACATAGAATAGCATCTTATACTAATGGTACCTCTTTTGACATCAAGCGACAAAGGGACACAAAGGGCGCAAAGACAATGAAGCACTAGCTAACTTGGCAGACCGTTAACTCAGTCCGTGACACCGCTATGTGAATGCGGGACTGAGCGGTGTGAGGGAGACTCGGCGGTGTCGGGTGCAGGCTGAGATGCTGCTGCCGCAAATATTAGTGCTCGGTCTTTGTCGGAACAGACTGAAGCAGTGTGCGGGAGCCGGTGTATAGAAATGTCGACAGGGATCTGTGGTGGGATAGAGGTTGTTACGGGAAGGAGAGCATCGCGTTTCGAGGTATCACCTCTGAGCGGTGATCTGAGCGGTGTGAGGGACCGTTCTATCCGAGCTTGAAAGAGGTGATACCTCGAAACGCGTTGCTCTCCTTCCCGTAACAACCTCTATCCCACCACAGAGCTGACCGCCTGTCGACATTTCTATACACCGGCTCCCGCACACGGCTCCAGTCTGTTCCGACAAAGACCGAGCACTGATATTTACAGCCGCGGCCGCAGATGCTCAGCCTGCAACTGACACCGCCGAGTGTCCCTCACACCGCTCAGATCCCGCATTCACATAGCGGTGTCAAGGACTGAATCCCAGCTCCACTTCCCCTCTCCTCGCTCACAGCCTTCCCTCCCTTTTGTGGACGAACGTCTCCAGGCAGTACACCAGCCAGATTCGGGCACACACCACGCGTGTCCCGATCCTCCACACAGGCCGTCCATCCTCTGGTCCCAGGATCTACATTTAAGTGCTTATACTGTTATTTTCCTACCACGCTCTGCCAAGTTAGCTAGTGCTTCATTGTCTTTGCGCCCTTTGTCGCTTTACATTCACAGATTCTCCTCCTGTTCCCCAGGGCTGCATGCTTTTTAGTTAGCCTTCTGTTCTCAGGGCCCCCATCCCAGAGCGCTGTTTATGTCTTTTTGTTCTTTTGACGTCAAACAGCTTGTCAATTGTCAGACTAGGTTTTTAGTCTATGTTATTCCCTGTATGGTTTGTCATACACAATACATAGGGAATACTACAAGACGAGTGTGTGATCATTGATGATTGTGGAGCACCAGCGGAGAACGATTGGAGCAGGTATGCATATATACACATTCTATATATTGATATTATTGTGTATGTTTATGTTTGGAGGATTGCATTTGTTTGTAAAGTGCTCTTAGTTTGACCTGCTTATTTGTTTGTGGCGGTAACCGAGAACAGTGCATTAACTGTGAATCCGCACCAATATGTATTGCTGAAGCCTTGGCGTAATGGTACATTGTATGCCACAAATGTATGGTATTCTGTATTGGGATTCAATGTTGCATTTTTTATTTGCTTCGGTTAGGAAATGTGAGTTTACCTGGTCCTGCTGTTTATATCACGTTGCGGTCTTTAGATGTATATACAAAGGGGGCTGATAGGATTTGTAGTTATCTATCTACTAGTAATATACTAGGAATATGTTGGCAGCACTGGGATGAAGTAGCGGGCAGGGTTAAACCTAATTAGTTATACACCTGGTAGAGGCAGATTCTAAAGTACATAGGCTGTGCACTCACTATGAATAGCTTTATCTCTATGATTAAGCCCAAGTGTTGAAACGTGTTAGATTTTGCACATGGGGACTGCTATGATGGTGCATATTTGTTGACTTAGGTCAATAAAGACTGATTTTATGCAAGAGGACCCCTGGAGTGCGGCTGTGTTGAAGTCAGCTTTCTAGCATATAATGCGCCACTTGCTAGACATACCTTTAATCCAGCCCTCAGGATAAACCTCCTCGAATGCAGTGACACGTAATCTTAAAATCCCTTTCAATATGCTCATCAGTATCATAGTATTGCAAATGATTTGCGCTGGAACTATAATAGAACGGAAGACTTTGTATGTACTTGGATGTTGAGCTACGACATCAGTGGTAACCCTGCCTTTTGAACAGCTCTGTGTGCGAGAGGGCGTCAGGAAGCACATTAAATATAGATAAAAGCACCCTACTCTGACCTCATCATTGCGAGCCTCAAGGCAAACTAAGATGTAGTTTTGTAAAGGCATGCATGTTTTACTCAACTTGGGGGGCCATGGTGGAGCTTGGTTACATTTGGACCTTTTTGAGCTGCATAGTCCACTTACCTCCTGGATCTATTTGTTAATAGGCTATTGTTATACTTGAGATATTTATTACCAAGATCTGGACTTTGTTACTACAGTTAAATTATACCCAAAGATATGGTGTTATCCACTACCAAGATAAAGTCAAGATTATGGTACACTTGGAGTGTGGCATGCTGGCAGGGGGCTCCTGCATTCTCTCTGACTCCCTGCAGCCAGTGCAATGACAGCTAGTGGCTGCATCTGGGCACTTTGATAATTTTAAGTATACCAATGTTTTAAAATATCCTGAGGCTTTCCTTAAAAGAGAACTGTGGGGTAAGTGTTTGTCCCCATAGTTCTCCGTAGGGTCACGGGAGGACATAAAACTAGCATTCCCCCGTCACCCAAAGCTCAGTATACCGCGTGCTACAGCTCGCGGTATACTGAGACTTCCGCAGCCGGGACGGATCCCGACATTACTGTCGAGATCCACCCAGCTGCGTGATTGACAGCTGGCTCTGCCCATCTAGAGGCAGAGCCAGCTGTACCCGCCCCCTCCCCCGTCCGTTCCGCCAGTCAGCGCTGGAGGATCAGAGCGGAGAGGGGGGGAATCCCTGCAGGAAGCCGTGAGTGATGGCTCTCTGCAGGGACATGATCGTTGTGAGCGAGTGACGGTATGTGTTCGCTCACTTCCCGATCTATTGAGCCGTGTGACAGTTTCATTGTCACACGCCGGCTCGAACTATGAGGTTGAGTGAAAATCACTCACCTCATAGTTCTCCTTTAAGCAGGGGTAACTGAAGTCCTGTAAGATGCACTTAGCCATCCTCATTCCCCATGGAAATACCAGTATGTACTGTAAACCAATTTGATGTGAAGTCTATGTCATCTGAGATTGAAATATATATATCTTAATTGACAAAAAGTACAATGTTGGTGTGATGGTACACTGGTAAAAAGAGGTTAGCTCTCAGAGTCCTGTATTTATGGTAATGAAATAAATAATGAATTTGTCAATTTTCAACATTTATAATGGATATGCAATAATAAAATGACAATGGTTTAACTTAATATTTGTGTGGGTCCATTAAAGTCAGATATCCTAATGTTTTTTAAGATTTTAAGTACAATTGTTACGCATGTGGTACCTTAAGCCACCAAGAGCTACTTACTATAGTTATAATTAGGAATGCACCTTTTGGCCAAAAATGGTACTATGGGCAAAAAGTACCAAAAAGGCTATTGCATCCCAAGCTTCTCTCCTCCCCGCTGGGCGCCAGTCTGTGTCCCCTCTGATCCTTGCTGCTCTCTCCCGCCTGTGTCGGCAGAGGCAGCGGGGATCTGAGGGGACACAGAACGGTGCCCAGCGGGGAGGAGAGAAGCTGTCAGGATGCCGAGCAGGCTGGTGCAGGGAGGAGACAGCTGTCAGAGGAGGCCAAGCTCTCCTTGTGACAGGCAGAGCAGTCAGGATGGAGAATGGAGTACAAATAGCCAACGATCAGTAACTGAGGACATACTACGCTTACTGTGTCCCCAGTTATGAATGAACAGGAAGTGCTATACATCACTTCTTGTTCATTCCTGATTGTGGACATAGTAACTGATACTATCTCCTCAATTTATGAATGGACAGGAGCACTCAGTATATAGGCTTCCTGTTCAATCATAACAGGGGCTGCAGAAAAAGAGATTTAGGACTCCGTGGTCTTAGTCTTTTTTTTCTATTTTAAAAGAGAAATATCAGTGGTCGCTAGTTATAATTATCAAGTGTTTTTAATGGTCATATAGTGCTGATATAAAATTGGCAAAGGTTATGTTAGGACTCTAGATGTCCTTTAAAATATTTACGCTGGATAGTTTGCAAACTAATTTGCGTTGTGGGTGTCTCAAATCTGTGGCTGCTCTTGCTCTGCCAAGTCAAATTAAAGCAGACTTGAAGTAAAAGCTTTTCTTTATGTCTATTGGTTTGAGGCTGCTAGTACAAAAAGAACTCCCTCTGCTAATATTTATCTCTATCCCTTACTTCTTGTTCTGTACTGGCTGCAGCAAAGAATTGGACCTGAGTAAGCCTTAACAGGCTGCTCAGGGAGAGGTCTTGCAAATAGGATTTGTCCATCCCTGGTGTTAACCACAAGATATAGAGATAAATAGCTAGATAGCTAGCTAGCTAGATAGATATAGAAGACACACTCTAGACTGAATAACCCATCTGAATCCTTTTCATGTAAGCAAAACGATCTGGATTTTGTGTCATTTCAGGAGAATTATGACTTTGTTCCACCTGAACATACAGTTTACCTGGGGAATTGCAAAGTTAACAAATCTCAGCGACTGGGTTTTATTAATTTTCTGAGGACCTGTAATTTTGGAGACTTAAAAGGAGAATTATTGGGAGAGTAAAATATACTCTTCACAATACTTAGAGCTGGCATGGAACACTGCAGCTGTCACATACTGGCTCTATACCGAGAGCTGAGCAATCATATAACTGCTGACGCTCAGCTCACTGTCAGTCAACGCTCCACACAAGGATTCCCCCTCCCCTCTCTGTTTCTCCAGCACTCACTGGAGGGGCAGACAGCTGAGGGGGCAGGCACAGCTGGCTCTGGCTCTAGAGAGGCAGGGTCAGCTGTTAATCAGGCAGTCCTGCGATGTCAGCAGATAGCAGGCAGTAGATGGCTATATGCTGACTTTGAGTCCAAGGAGTACATTAGTAGTAAATGTACTCCTGTGTCTCAAAAGATAAGTAAAAGAAAAGGCTTTCTCTTTTAAGAGACTGATAATTTACAATCTCATCTCTACCCACCAATTACCTGAAATTCCGATATCATTCAATCCCTACAAAAATTCAAGAGTGTCAACAATGCAAATATAGAGTTTATACCCTGTAGGATGCAATCATAAAATTAAATAAAGTAGGAAATGGGGGGGGGGGGAAACTACCCTTACAGTGGTGCTACCCCGCACTTCAAGAGCTAAATACTCATTATTGTCTAGGGAAGCTGTGTAAAAGTCTTTTACTTACCTGGTCCCCACTCAGCCTGCTGTTGGCACTCCCCTCTCTTCCCCCTGGTTTGTAGGCTGTTCCTCAGCTTCCCTGCGTATAATGCAGGGCTATGGGCCCTGCATTAGACGTGAAGACGTCAGCAACAAAAAATACTTATTGCCTCTGCTCCTTAACTCCATCTAGTAGCCATATTGTATTATTACAACAACAAAGTACATCGAATTTGGAAACGCCTTCAATGACCATAATGCAACATTACATTTGAACTAGAAAAAAAAGAAATATTAAGAATTTTCATTTTTGCCATTATTCTCCCAAAATGAACGTTCACAGAACCATTTATAAATAGTCTCCCAGTTGCCTGGTGTTTCTGGTAATGGCTCCAAAATTGCTGCACCAAAGGACTGCGGAAAGAAGTCAAACATGGTGCTATGCATTTATCAAAATATATGAGCTATATGACTGTTTAATGTTCACTGAGTAATTCTAGGGCAAACTTCCACTTCAAACCAGATTCTTATGGCAATTTTTCCAATGAAGGTTAGGAAATTAATTTGCCTTACTGGTTTGCCAAGGGAAGCATATCCACTTCTTTCCTTTTTTATTGGCCGGCCAATTACAACAGTTAGTCTGGTCTGTTTCCACAGTAATAATTCTAAATATAGAAAGTGATAAAATCCCTGTGCAACCTAATTGTTAATAACAATGTCTTTCTGACACCGCCTATAAAAACAGTTTTCTTACCTCTTCAGCGTTAGAGTCCCTGTAATATTTGAGGCTAGAGTCTGTGAGAACAAACCAGTGTTTCTTCCACTAGGAGAGAAAAAAAATATATGTTACGGTGCATTTTGTCATTCTCATATTCAGTCCTCACACATAAAATGCCTTACAGCAGCAATCCTAACACTTATAAACAGTTAAATAAGTCAGTTCATCCTGACTCCGTACTAGATTTACAGGAGTAAGCCCAAAAGCAAAACAATAGAAACAGGTTATATTCAGCTGGCCTGACTGAACATCTGCAGAGCAAAAAGGTACAAAATGATCAAGAGCAGTCTACAAACCTGAAGGTACCAACATGAACAAGATGTATTTGTGTTTGGTATAAAATATGTTTAGGCCAGGTGCACATACAAGCATGAAAATTAGGCATTGGAAGGGTTCCTGAAGCTTGCTTAGTGCTCCCTAGTTTTTGCTGCAGGAATCTACCAATGACCCCAACATTATTATCCCACACTTGTGTGCAGAAGCTGTTAAGTAGGTGGACTGTTTTATGGGCTTGTTCACACCATCTACAGACCAATTCTGGATGCATTTCTATAAATGTGTGTATGTGCACTTTTTATGCGTTTTTGATGCCTTCTGGTAAATGTTTTGTTCTCAATCGACTTTGTTTGGGTTTTAAGTGGATTCCATTGCGTGCTGGTCCATTTGCACGTGTTGTAGGGCAGAAAAAAAATGCAGCATAATGTACTTTTTTAAAACATAGTATAGAATAGTGTAAACTAGCCTCATTTAAAACCATTATAAATTACTCTGTATGTATTTTTGGTGCAGATTTAAAAAAAATACTGGTCTGGAGATGGTGTCAACAGAAACAAAAAAACTTTTCACAAATGTTATTTGTAATAAGAGTCATTTACTCGTCAATGAAGCAACATCAAAAAGAAAATAAGGCAAATGTAAAAATTCAGCATAAAAAACAGATGTTGCTAAAAAAAAAAAAAAAAAAAAAAGGAAGAAGAGCAAAAAAACAAAAAGATGTTTAAAACGTATGCTGCTCTAAAAATTGCCAGAGAATGATTCGCTAGTCTTGGTACCACTGCGATTCTCCTCTGTTCACAGCAGCTCAATCAAAACACGAAGGTTATACAATCTTTAAAAAAACAAAAGCCATGCTAAAAGTTGATAACGTGTTGGAGTTTAGATATAATTATATTTGTTTCTAATGCCAAGATCAATATATAATAGATTACTGTATGTACACTGAATACAACACAAATATTGTAGTTTAGCATTAACGGAACATCATTGGTTACAGCAAAAAATGGTACACTGACCAACATCATTCTACTAACGATGACTTAAAAGCACAGAGAAGCAAACTTGAATACTTTGTACGGTGCTACATAACATAAAAGTATGTTCTCACCTCCCCTTTGCCATCGAGTAAGGACATCCATCCTTTCTTGAAATTTAGCAGGTCTGGCTGTAGGGAAGAAACATCAAGTGCAACTAAGTAGCTTTATATAAAGTGGAACAAGTGCAACTAAGTAGCTGTATATAAATCGGAACAAGTGCATCACAATGACTAATAGGTGTATGAACAGAGGAAATGTAGCAGAGATCAAAACATTTTTTTTTTTTTAAAGAAAAAATAGATTGCATGAGCCCACTGTAGGACAGGAAATGTAATACTTAGATATTACAGCAGCTAAGCTTTTTCAAAACACTTCCTACCTCCATGTCTGTGATGGCACCTCTTTCTGTGGATGCTGTACTGGGCAACATGAAGCTATCTTACTTTCTGATCTCTCTATCCGTCTTATTTACACCTCTATACCCAACTACCTTTTCCTACTATCCTCGGAAATTAGTCATATGATACACAAATTGTTCTATTTAACCATGTTCCCTACTTTCTTATGAAAGCAGATAACCCCAAACTATTAAAAGCACTGGACTCTGTGACCTTCCCCTACATTATGTCACTTGCCTCTCTCTTTCATCTCAGAGACTCCTGCAGTAATTCTATAATACTAAGCTAAAAAGGAGGACTGCCTAATAAAAAGTTAACCATTATATCTTTACATTTATATTACTAACTTGCTATAATTTATTCCCTCTGCTATAAGCACAGACTTATCTGACATTTAGCCGTGTCCCTCTCTCCAGCCCTTTCCTTCTCCAGTTACAGTTGTGTGTGTGTGTGTGTGTGTGTGTGTGTGTGTGTATGAGAGGGACACAAGTTACTCCCACCCTTTGGCCAGAATCCTACTTCTCGGAGGGTAAAGAGGGGCAGAGAGACATCTGAGGTATAGAGAAGATTCAGTTTCAGGTTGTGAATGCTATATAAGAGACTAGCGAAAAGTGAGACTACCCTTTACACAGTATGACCAAGGCTTTCGGACATTTAATACCACAGATACAAAATAACAGTCACTCAATGAAGAGACACCAACGTCAACACACAGCTGGTTAATGAAAGGAGGCAGAAAGAGAGACAGTAATGAATATCAACACAGGAAGACAATTTTAGGGGAGGGACACTGTGATGACACCTCTGAATGACAAGTACCAGATGACTGCAGCCTAAAATACGAGACATGCTATCAAACCATCAGGATAGGATAAAGATAACAATCGGAAAGATCTGTAGAGAGAGAGAGAGAGAGAGAAAGAAAAGAAGTCTTAGTGGAAGAACTGAAACAGTAGGGTGATAAACTGTCACAAGAGACACTCAGAGTGACAGCAACAACAACAACAAAAAGGGGGCCAGAAAGAAAATCATAAAGTTAGACAAGGCAAAGATGATGACAAATCTTAATATGAAAAGTAAGCATTTCCGAGCTTCATTAACAGGCTGTTTTGACATACAAAATTATCACAAGGGTAGGTGCAATAATTGCAACACACACAGCTATGCAAACTACACATCCTATTTATGACACCATTGTAAATAACAGAATTTATGAAGAACCTACAAAGCAAGTACATTTCCACTACCGGCTGCTGTGAAAATGAACTCAGCTAGATCAACTGCTATTGATAACCTCAAGTATACTGGGATGTGCAGATGTAACAAAGGCATTAACCTTTTCGTTGCCAAGGTGGGTTTTTTTTTAAGGCATACATTATAATCCACATTTTAGGCCTGAAAATTACTTAAAACCTCTGAGAGTTACATATTTCCTGAAAGCAGAGACCGTGTTGTAGAATAAAATGGCGGCAGTTGCACATTTTTACACTACATGATATTATTAGTGCAACTCTTTATCAAACCCAATTTTTTTAGTAAAAATACACGTAAGGTAATTTTAGTGTCCAAAAACACAATATCCATTTTTTTGTAAAATATAAAAGATGAAGTTATCCCAAGTAAATAGATACCCAACACGCCAAGCTTAAAAATTGCAAGTGCCAGTGAAACTGCGACAAAATCCGGTACCCCAAATTATCCATAGGCAAAGCCCATATAGGTCGTCACCGTTGATCTGTGAATATAGGCCCTAGAATTATTGCTCTCACTCATGGCATGCGGCGATACCTAACGTGTAGCGCAATCAGTGTTTTCATATGTAGGCGCAATCCGAAACTTTGATCATCCCACTTCAAGGGAAACTATATGTCTGGCGCAAACCCAAGACCTCTCATCATCTCGAGAACACCATCTTGACAGTGAAGCACGGTGGTGGCAGCATTATGCTGTGGGAATGTTTTCCATCGGCAGGGACTGACAAACTGGTCAGAATTGAAGGAATGATGGATGGCACTAAATAGGGAAATTCTTGAGGGAAACCTGTTTCAGTATGCCAGAGATTTGAGACTGGGACGGAGGTTCACCTTCCAACAGGATAATGACCCTAAGCATACTGCTAAATCAACACTCAAGTGGTTTAAGGGGAAACATTTAAATGTCTTGGAATGGCTTAGTCAAAGCCCAGACCTCAATCTAATTGAGAATCTGTGGCATGACTTAAGATTGCTGTACACCAGCAAAACCCATCCAACTTGAAGGAGCTTTTGCCTTGAAGAATGGGCAAAAATCCCAGTGTCTAGATGTGCCAATCTTATAGAGACATACGCCAAGAGACTTGCAGCTGTAATTTCTGCAAAAGGGAGCTCTACAAAGTATTGACTATTGGGTGTGAAAATATATGCACACTCAAGGGTTCCGTTTCTTTTGTCTTATTTCTTCTTTGCATCATTATAAAAAATATTTTGCATCTTCAAAGTGGTAGGCATGTTGTGTACACCTAGGCGATTGAGCCGGTGAGCTGTTTTTGCGAGCTTGTCATGTGGTTTCATTTGCGGTTGTCGAACAGTTGTCAATGCAGAGATGTCTATGGGACCCAAACTGTGCGACAACCGCCCGAAAAATAGCTCCCTACCTTTTTGCGGGACAGGCGATTTCATCCGGTCGGCAAACCCCAAAAGGTGTGAACAGCCTCAATTGACCTCAATGCAAATCTGTGTTTTGCGCGATATCGCGCAACTCAATCCATAGTTACATAGTATTTGAGGTTGGACACAGGTCCATCGAGTTCAACCTTTGTGTGTCTGTGTGTGTAGTGCGTGCATGTTACATAGTTACATAGTTAGTCAGGTTGAAAAAAGACAAGTCCATCAAGTTCAACCTATAGAGCTACGGAGGAAAAGAAAAGCCTATACAGAACGCTATGCACACAGCTACCCCCTGTTGATCCAGAGGAAGGTATAAAAACAAACAAACCTATAAAGCATGGTTCATGCACTGCAAGCACTGGCACATAGGGAAGAGGGTAGAGTTCAAACCCTGAGCTCACCCTAAACTTACACAATAATTTTTTTTTTTTTTTAGGTGGGGTGGATGGTGATGGACACAAGTCTCCATTCACACCTAGGCGTCAGCGTTCCCATGCGTTTTATGCACGTCTTTCCCTCGCATGATTTGCACATTTTTATGCAGGTTAAGATGTGCTTTTTTATTGTAGCAGATCAAAATGCATTGCTGGGAATGAGGAAACGTGTGTGCAAACACGCGCAGAAATAAAGTCTATGCAGCCAAGCATGCTGTTATTTGCCTGAAAGAAGCTCATGTACTTTTCCAGCTTGCCACAAAACTGTCAGGTGTAAACAGGGGCCATAGAAATTAATGGGATTTCTAGTGTTGAGAGTTTTGTCGCACTTAACTTTGAGTGTCAAAACGCCCAGGTGTGAACAGGGACTAAGTGAATAGTTAGTACTGTCACCACAGTGAACCTGTTACTTTACCCGCAATGAGCAAAGTAAAGGTTTGCTACGTACTGATTGCCTGTATTGTAGAGTCCCCAACTAAGAGCATTTAGCTGCAAATAGGGACACAGACTGGAAGGTCATATACGTTGCCTGTGCTTTCAATGTATGTAGGAGTACAAGCCCCTAAAGAAGAACTGTACTTTTGTTAAAAATGACAGGACAGTCACTGGCAGGAAAAAGCCTGCCAGACTCAAGATACAAAAGGGTAGCTGTTCCCAACAGAAATCCTTCCAAATGTCATGACTGTACAGGGTCCACCCAGTGTTAACATCCTTCAACACTCCCAATAATGTCAAAGGAGGATGACAGTGTATTGCTACAGGATGACAGGGAAAGGGTCTGGACATTATTCCCTAACTTAACTAACTGAACACTTTTTTTTAGTGTCATGTGACAGATTTTTCTAAAACAGTAAAGACTAATGATTTCAGGACAGTGGTGGAGTGCCAGGGCCCAGTCAAAGCTGCGACTTCTGCAACCCTGATAGTTCTGCCACTGACTCCAAACTGTAGAAGGTCTACAAGTCCCAGCAATACAATATATAGCAATGCAGAATACCATCAGCTATAGAGGATGAGGACTACAAATCCCAGCAGTATATTATACAGCAATGCCGAATAATACAATCAGCTACAGAGGACTACAAATCCCAGCAGTATATTATACAGAAATGCTGAATAACACAATCAGCTATAGAGGACTACAAATCCCAGCAATACAATGTATAGCAATGCAGAATACCATCAGCTATAGAGGACTACAAATCCCAGCAATACATTATACAACAACACAGAGTAATATGCTTACTAGGGTTGTGTGCGTTCTCACCAGGGCTGTGAGGGATCCCACCAGGGCTGCGGGTGGGTGCGTTTTCACCAGGGCGGTGCGGGCGGGTGCAGGGTCTCAACAGGGAGATGATGATCTTCGTCCGGACCAGCGCTGTAAACAGCCGTCGTGAGGTCCCCAGCAAGCGCGGGACCTTACGGCAGCCAAAGTCATTTAAAATTTTAAAGGGGCGGTATAGGCATTAAGTATCGGGGCCTTTTACTTGTGAAAATCCCCAGTAGTAGTGGTATCGGTGCATCCCTGTACACACACATGCAAAAACAGCTCTAGCGGGAAATGGGTTATGGCTTTATGCACACTGACAGTGTCAAACCGCGTTTAAAGCACATTTTTAAATGCATGCAAATACATGTAACTGATTTTCAG